CTTCTTCTTCTTCTTCTTCTTCTTCTTCTTCTTCTTCTTCTTCTTCTCCTCCTCCTCCTCCTCCTCCTCCTTCCTTCCTTTTTCTTTCTTCCCCCCTCCTCTTCTTTTCTTTCTTCTCACTCTTCTTCCTCCTTCCTTCCTTTCCTACTTCTTCCTTCCTTCTTTTACTTTCTTTCTTTCCTCCTCCTCCTCCTTTCTTCATTTTTCTTTCTTTCTCTTCCTCCTCTTCCTCCTTCCTTATCCTACTTCTTTCTTCTCCTTCTTTCTTTCTTCTTGTTCCTCTTCCTCCTTCCTTCCTTTCCTACTTTTTCCTTCCTTCCTTCTTTTTCTTTCTTTCCTCCTCCCTTCCTTTCCTCCTCCTCCTCCCTCCTCCTTTCTTCATTTCACTTTCTCTTCCTCCTCTTCCTCCTTCCTTCTCCTTCCTCCTTCTTCTCCTTCTCTTTCTTCTCATTCCTCTTCCTCCTTCCTTCCTTTCCTACTTCTTCCTTCCTTCTTTTTCTTTCTTTCTTTTCCTCCTCTTCCTCCTTCCTTCTTCTTCTCCTTCTCCTTTCTTTCTTATCATTCCTCTTCCTCCTTCCTTCCTTTCCTCCTCCTTCTTCCTTCTCTCTTTTTCTTCCTTCCTTTCCTCCTCCTTCTTCTTCTTTCTTTTTCTTTCTTTCCTCCTCCTTTCGTTCCTTTCCTCCTCCTTCCTCCTCCTCCTTCCTTTCTTTTTCTTTCTTTTTTCTCTTCCTTCCTTTCCTACTTCTTCCTTCCTTCTTTTTATTTATTTCTTTTCCTCCTCTTCCTCCTTCCTTCTTCTCCTTTCTTTCTTCTCATTCCTCTTCCTCCTTCCTTCCTTTCCTCCTCCTTCCTTCTTTCTTTTTCTTCCTTCCTTTCCTCCTCCTTCTTCTTCCTTCTTTCTTTTTCTTTCTTTCCTCCTCCTTTCGTTCCTTTCCTCCTCCTTCCTCCTTCCTTTCTTTTTCTTTCTTTTTTCTCTTCCTCCTTCATTCTCCTTTCTTCCTTCTTCTCCTTCTCCTCCTCCCCTTTCCTCCTTCTCTTTCTCTCCACCTGCCACCAAGGTCCCCCTCTTCTCATTTGCTAAATTAAAAAGCTTTCAGCCTCGACTCGCTCCCGACGTACAACTCCGCAGATGCGCGGCATGAAACTCCGCAATCCAAGCTCGGGCAGCCAATCCGGGGCTGAGCTCTAAACAGTCGCCTAGGCAACCTCACTCCGCGGCCCGCCCCCTCTCCAAGAGGCTAAATGAAACAGAGAAGGGATTTAATGCGGAGCTTAAGATGCGGGCGGGTTTTTTTTTTCCTTTTTCCTTTTTCTTTTCGCTCCTGCGCTTTTCTGCTTAAATAAATTAAAATAAAATTGAAAATCCAAGGGAGAAGCGCTTGCACCGCGCCTAGGAAATCCTATGGTCCAAAACGGCAGCTCTCGCGCTCCCTCTACTGGCCGGTCAGCAAAGCGTCCGAAAGAGACGCGCTTCCCTCGGTCGCTTTCGAAAGCCCACCTGCGTTTTAAATCCCGGGGTCCTTCCCCCCCCGCCCCCCCAAATCACATTAAACTAATATTGCAAGCTCAGCCTTCCGAAAATCCGGATTTCTGTTAGGATAGACCAGTGTTTCTCAACCTTGGGGACTTGAAGTCCTGTGGACTTCAACTTCCAGAATTCCCCAGCCAGCTGTGCTGGCTGGGGGATTCTGGGAGTTGAAGTCCACAGGACTTCAAGTCCCCAAGGTTGAGAAACACTGGGATAGACCCCCGTTCCGCCTTGGACTCGTCCGCTTTTCTTTGCTCCCCGGAGGATCGCACAGGCGATTCTGGGAAGGAACTAAGGCCCTTTATTTTTAATTTTAGGTTTGCATGCGTTCCAAACCTCTCCGGGAGGTTAGAAATGGGTCAAAAGATTTTAAATCTTCCATCTCCCTCACAGGAGAAGGATGGGGTGAGGTCCTAAACAGTATCAAAACCAAAAAAACTCTATACGGAATTTAAAATTTAAAAAGGCAAGAAGGAATCTAAAAAATCAGTGTGAAAGTTAGTTGTTAGTTGCAAAGTCCTGTCTGACCCATCACGACCCCATTGAGAACGTTCCTCCCCTTCTTCTTTTGCCCTCCATTGTTCCCAGCATGAGGGTCTTCTCCAGGGAGTCCTTCTTCCTTCTCATTAGGTGGCCAAAGTCTTTGAATTTCCTCTTAAGGATCTGGCCTTCTAAAGAGCAGCCAGGGTTGATCTCCTCTAGGACTGACCGGTTGGATGGCCTTGCAGTCCAAGGGACTCGCAGGAGTCTTCTCCAGCACCGGNAAAGTCAACTGATTGGCTTTCATGCCTAAGGCGGGAGTAGAACTCGCCATCTCCTGGTGATTGGCCCAAAGTCCCCCAGCTGGCTTTCATTCCTAAGACAGAATTAGAACTGCTTTCCTGCTTTCAAATCTGGTGCTTTAACCACTAGACAAAGCTGTCCCAAATCTCCCAGACGTTGAAGGTCAACCCCAATTTTGCTTTTCCCCCACAGGCCACAAACCTTCTCCTTGACAAGGACTCTCTCCGGCAATTGTTTGGGACAAACCGATCCAAAAGGTTTGAGAGCCAGAATTTGCATTTTGTTTCTGCATGCGTGTTTATGTATGTGTGTGTCTGTGCATGCGTGTGACGCCTTCCCTTTCAAAACCTTTACAGACATCCTTTGACCTACAACCACAATCACCATCATCTTTTTTTTAAAGACCCCGTAATCCCTTTGGCAGGGGGGTGTAACAAAATGGAGATTAGTGTTTCCTGGCCAGATGCCTTTCCTGTCACCAGAGCGGAGTTTTTTTTTTTCCCCAGCAGATATATTCTCCTTGTGCCTGGAGAGAGAAATATCTGCCTCTACCTAGGATCGAATTCACAGCCTCCTGATTGTGAGGCGAGCGCTCCCCCCCTCTAAGCCACCGCACCACTCTCTAGAACCACAACGGAGCCCCCAAATTTCCGTTTGCTAAGTGAGGTGGTTGTTCAGCGAGTTTTCTCCCCTTTTACGACCTTTCTTGCTGGGTTGGTTAAGTCAGGGGTCAGCAAACTGCGGCTCTGGAGCCGCATGTGGCTCTTTCCTCCCTCTGCTGCGGCTCCGTCACCGGTTGGCGCCACAATTTTGACAGGAGCTTCCGGTGGGGAGTGGGGGGAGAAGCACAGTGCGCCAGGAAGAGGAGACTCTATGGAAAGGGGAGGGTTTTCCAGTTGTCTCCACAACTGATAGGGCTTTCGGTTAGGACAGGTAGAGGAAAAAGTACACCGCGCTAGGAGGAGACTCTGTGGTAGGGGAACTGAACTTCCGGTGCAGCTCCCGAATTGAACGGTGGGGGAGCTTCCGGTTAGGACCTTTGTGGCTCCCGGTGTTTTTTTTTCTGTGGGAAAGGGGTCCAAATGGCTCTTTTGAGTGTTTTAAGTTTGCCGACCCCGGGTTAAGTGAACCACTGCAGCTGTTCAGTTAGCAACATGGTTGCTAAGCGAATCAGGCTTCTGGCTATATATATATATCGCGTGACTCTGAGGAGGCCACAATGGTTGTAAGTGTGAAAATGGTCGTAAGTCACTTTTTCCCGTTCTGTTGTAACTTCGAATGGCCACTGAACAAACGGTTGCGCGTCAAGGACTACCTGTATTATTATTTTTTTAAAAAAAACTAGCCATCGACGGACACATAGAGGTAAACCACGTTTACACGCCCTTCAAAAGAATCAGTTAAAAAAGCTATTACTACAAAGCCTGGCTCAACCTTCTCAGCTCTAGCTTGACTGCCTCCTGTACCCTCTCAGTCCAGAAATCTTTATCTTTCCCTCCAGTTATTCCTCCCTCCCAGTTTCGCCCTCTTTCCGCTCCTTTTTTTTTCAGGTTCTCCATGGTGGTGGAGGACAGCATCGTGAAGTCCCTCAACGTAGAAGAGGACGGGACGGGGCTGACCTGCAGCCTGGCCAGCAACATCGTCTCCCAGCTGTGAGGCCCAGAGGCCCATGGCTGATCTGGAGCCCGTCCTACACCACCAGACGGATGGTCCTTGAGGTGTTTTGAAATTGGCTCAGGATGGCGCCCAGGAGATGGGAGCTGTGTGTGTGTTTACCTGATGACGGAGTCCTTGATTGCTTTCTGAGCTTGGTTTCCTTGCAGACGTTTAACGACCCAACTAGGTAACATCATCAGTGCTGGAAGGAGTGTGGGGTTTGCTCTCCGTTTATATACTTGTGGCTTGTCTTGTGTTATTTTCTCCTTGATTAGATTGTTTATTTGATTGTCGGAGTTGATCGTGGCAAGCTCCTTTATATAAAAAGAGCAAAGCCCACACTCCCTCGTAGCCCTGATGATGTTACCTAGTGTGGTTATGAAGAGTCTGCAAGAAAACCCACCAAGCTTAGAGAGCACCAAGGACTCCGCAGTTTAACCCTGAGCTGGAAATAGTCTCCTTCTGTTGGCTTACGTAATTCCTTTAGCTTCTTCTTTGTTCCTCTTGATAGCAAATAAATCATCTGGCAAAAAAAATTGAGGTCTCAAGTCTGTTTTTTGGGGGGGTTACTTTTTATTTTACAAAAATTTAACCACTCTCCCATCTGAGAGAGAAGAAGAAAAAAATTCCATCCTTCACTGGTCTGTTAGATCAGCGGGCACCAAACTGGGTCGGCAAGAAAATTTTGGTGGTCCGCAGAAAAATTATTCGCCTTTTTTATATTGCACTCAATCAAAGGTCCTCAAATTACGGCCCCTGGGCTGGATACGTGCAATGAACGCTTGTGTTGCTGCAGAGAGTCTCCCCCTTCGGGGTCTTTTTGTGTGGGTCGGAGGGGGGGGTATACATTTTGACTTGGGGTCTGCTTCAGTCTCCTGGTGTGGGGCTCAAGCAGGAGACCCTTCACCATTTCCGACAGAGGGAAGTCCAGTCTCTTCTTGAAAGTCTCCAGGGATGAAGCTCCCACAACTTCTGAAGGCAACTTCTGTT